CTTGATAAATACTATTCTCAAATTTAAATTAATACTTTAAATCTATAATCTTATTTATAATAGATAAATTGAGTCAAAATTTCAAATTAAATCCAATTTTACAAGGCGGATCTCTTGAACATGAAATGATCTCTAGCAACGGAAATTAAGCAAAAAAAAAAAAAAAATCTTCTTTTTACATGATGCTTAAAGGGTATAGTATCGAAAATTGAAAAAAAGGAAAAATAGTATATAATCGTTCCTCTATTTCTTTTAGTCATTTTCAAGAAATATGGCCCAGAACGTGCAATGTCTGACCTCGAGGTGCCCTTTGCCTTGACGGGTCATCCAAAATAAGGGAACTGGGTTTGTGCAACATCCCCGAGATTGCCTACCTCAAAAAAAAAAAAAAAAGTCCATAATTTTTTGTGTGGTTTATGTAATTGTAATTTGTAACCAACCTTATTCCATTCTTTTGCTTACAAATTCATGTAGATGCCAAACAATTAATTAGCAAATTAAATAACGATTTTTATAAAATATCATGCACACAAACCGTTATATTGTTTTTGACATTGACCATTCTTACCGTTACAACATCTTTTATAAGTATTTGACAAAAATCTTCATAAATATTCACAAAATTAACCCGTGATTAACATTCTTGTAATCTTTTAATATTTTTATAAAAATAAGAATTTACTTATATATAAATTTTATATATTATACTTATATAAAATTTTAATCATTTATTTTTTTACTTTTAATAGTTAAATTTTATTTATATTTATTAAAAATAATTATATTTTTATTTAAAAAATTATAATAAATTTTAACTATTAAAAATAAAAAATCAAAATTTTATATAAATATAATATATAAGATTATAAATAGGTAAACTCCGTCCCTTCTTTCAAATGTTTACACCTAATTACAAATTTTCTTAGGTGGTTTATGTAATTGTGTTTGTATGCAACCTTATTTCATTCATTTGCTCACAAATCAATGTAGATGCCAAACAATTAATTAGCAAATTAAATAGCGATGTTTATAAGATGTCCAAACCATTATATCATGTCCCAAACCATTATATCGTACATTGACACGCATTATTCTTATCCTTGAAACATTATTTATAAATATTTAAAGAAAATCAACGCATAACATTATTACGGTTTCTTAATATCTTTTCAGTTGTTTATACCTAATTACAAATTTTCTTATCTCTTTGTAACCAACCTTTTCCTCGGTCATGGTTATAACAATTAATAATAATGTTATAATAATTTAAATTATTGAATATTATTTTTAAAAATATTAATTTTATTCAATTTGATTGATAAAAATAATTATTAATTGTAATTATTAATTGGTAAATAATAAAATAATTGATATTTATTAATTAATAAATTAATATTTTCATACGTTATTTAAAAAAACCAAAATTTAAATAACATTAGTGGTATTAATAGTGATAATAACCACACTTTTTTTCCTTCTCTTCCTAACAAAACACAAGATTTTATATTAGATCCATACTTTGATAATTATATGTAGTATAAAAAAAAGTATAAATAGGGATATAAATTTTATTAATTTTTTATTTATGAATGTGAATTTTGTTAATTTTAAAATAAAATAGTAAATTTTTAATTTTTTATTTGAGAATGCAGATTTTATGTTTTTTATTTAAAAATTAATTAAATAGTGG